AAAATTGTCAACATTGATTGTATTGCACCTGTCACTACGCATGAAGGGGCGTTCTAATACCCTGATTTCATAAAACTATGGTGATGTGTTTTTTGAGATGAGATCTGAGACTGTCTGCATACAGTGTCCATCTCCCACGTGTGTGATCATTAAATCATCGTTTGACTCAACCCGACCGGACCAGTGTTGTTATTGTGGGTTTTTTCCTCTGGTGTCCATCCCCAATATTTTGAACCTTAACAGAAGGGAATTGTGGTCTGTGGTCGGAGACTATTTTATGTGGAACTCCATGGAGCATAAAAACATGATGGATGAAGTCAGCTGTTTCAGTGACAGTACAGACAATTTTTCCAAAGCAACGAAATGTACAGATTTTGAAAATCTGACTGCTTTTCCTGAGGTGGGTAACCCATGACAAAATCTACAGTGATGTGGGACCATGATCTGTGGAGGGTGGCTAGAGGCACGCTGGTGTTCAGGCAAGCACACTTCTGCAAGGGCAGAACTTCCCTCAGACACGGGCTGAGCAAAAGCCTTTTTCAGTTCACAAAAAAAAAAAAAAAAAAAATAGGCCGGTGGGTGAAAAGAAAAATACGCTTCGGCCTATTCTAATACCCTTCACCTCAGTTGCCCTACAAGATAGGATAATTTTTCTGTCTTATTGGGCAATGACTGTGGTGAGCAGCTGAAAATCAACAAGCATTACTTCAGGAATCCCCCGCAGCGAATCAACTCCCTGTAGAAGGGCTCTGAAGAAGGGTGCTGAAGAAACTGTGTCACAGAATATTGGCTCAACGGTTGCAGCTGCAGACAGCTGCTGGACACTGTGGATAACTGAGCGGTTACAGGTGACTAAGCAGTGGAGGACCTGGAAAGTGAGGACGAGAATCAAGGGAGTCAGTATGATTAAGCCCCTTGAATGTGTTGAATCTTTCTGGCCAGTTGCTTCACCAAAAGGCAGATCACACAACAGCTCGTTTGAAAGTACTCTTCGTTTTTCAAAGAGCAGCAGGATTGTGGGGTCGCAAACTTTAAAGGCTGTGCAGAATTTCATTAGGGCGGAAAGATGTTGATTCAGGCTTTTGGAACACAATTTAAACCCAAACACAAAATATTCAGTAGATGAGTAAGGTTTGTTGCCGACAGTTATATTGAACATATGCAGGCCAAAAGCCAACAAAGATAAATAAAGACGAAGACTCCCGGGGCACTTCTGAAGAATCACCAGCTCCTCCTCCTTTATTATATAATTTTTCAAAGATTTATTTCCTTAATTATGTCCAAATCAAATTTTTCTTAAAAACTTTGCTTCCTCTATGATAATCAACACTTGTCTTGCATAACTTTCTGGGATTTCTTCCAATGACCTCTTCAGCCATTATCTTTATAGTTTATTTTGACAGGTCTTGACTGAGGTGAGTTCATAGGGTCAGGAATAATGGCTGTTATGTCAGCTTTACAGTGAGAAGCAATTAATACTACTTCAGATTTTTATTCCTTTAAAACAATTTGCACTACCAAATGTAAGGTACTTAGGCTATCCTCGGATACAGGAGGAACAATGCGGTTTTCGTCCTGGTCGCGGAACACTGGACCAGCTCTCTATCCTCTCGAGGATACTTGAGGGTGCATGGGAGTTTGCCCAACCAGTCTACATGTGTTTTGTGGACTTGGAGAAGGCATTCGACCGTGTCCCTCGGGGTGTCCTGTGGGAGGTGTTGCGGGAGTATGGGGTGTCTGGCCCATTGCTACGGGCCATTCGATCCCTATACAACCGTTGCAAGAGCTTGGTTTGCATTGCCGGCAATAAGTCGGACTCGTTCCCGGTGGGTGATGGGCTCCGCCAGGGTTGCCCTTTGTCTCCGGTTCTGTTCATAACTTTTATGGACAGGATTTCTAGGCGCAGCCAAGTGGCGGAGGGCTTTCGCTTTGGTGGCCTCAGAATCTCATCTCTGATTTTTGCAGATGATGTGGTTCTGTTGGCTTCATCGGGTGAGGGCCTCCAGCTCGCACTGGAACGGTTCGCAGCAGAGTGTGAAGCAGCGGGAATGAGGATCAGCACCTCCAAATCTGAGGCCATGGTTCTCAGCCGGAAAAGGGTGGAGTGCCCACTCCGGGTCGGGGATGAGTTCCTGCCCCAAGTGGAGGAGTTCAAGTATCTCGGGGTCTTGTTCGCGAGTGATGGGAGAAGGGAGCCGGAGATCGACAGACGGATTGGGGCTGCAGCTGCAGTAATGCGGACGCTGCACCGGTCCGTCGTGGTGAAGAGGGAGCTGAGTGTAAAAGCGAAGCTCTCAATTTACCGGTCGATCTACGTCCCTACCCTCACCTATGGCCACGAGCTGTGGCTAGTGACCGAAAGAACAAGATCGCGGATACAAGCGGCAGAAATGAGCTTCCTCCGAAGGGTGGCTGGCCTCTCCCTTAGAGATAGGGTGAGAAGTTCGGCCATCTGGGAGGGGCTCAGAGTAGAGCCGCTGCTGCTCCACATCGAAAGGAGCCAGCTAAGGTGGTTCGGGCATCTGACAAGGATGCCCCCTGGGTGAGGTGTTCCAGGCATGTCCCACCGGGAGGAGGCCCCGGGGCAGACCCAGGACACGCTGGAGAGATTATATCTCTCGGCTGGCCTGGGAACGCCTTGGTATTCCCCCGGATAAGCTGGAGGAGGTGGCTGGGGAGAGGGAGGTCTGGGCCTCTTTGCTTAGGCTGCTGCCCCCGCAACCCGGCCTCGAATAAAGCGGATGAAGATGGATGGCTATTCTACAACTTTGGACAGCTTGGACCTTCCAAATGACTCATATAGATAAAAATAATTACCAGATGCATCTTTGTCTAGTTTCCACCACACATGTCACAAACCTGTCAAAATGGAAAACAGCACTGTCAAAGTTACTTTTTTTTTTTTTTTAGATCCAAATTATTAAAGCTCAAAACAGCAGCTGGGTATCAACAGGTGTTCACATAAAAGTACGATATAAACATAGATACTGACATAAATATATGGGTCACAAACAATTCGAGTAAATGGATCAATTGCTTAACAGTGTCATTCCCTGTAAATTCCCCTTCCCCTTCCTTTAATTACCAGATTCCACATCATTCCTATCACACCCACAGGCTTTGCCATGAGACTGGGCTGGGCTGGGCAATCTCCGAAATCATCGAAGAACTTCTGCAGGCTCTATCTTGACAAACCAGCCATACAGTGGGGCAAAAAAGTATTTAGTCAGCCACCGATTGTGCAAGTTTCCCCACTTAAAATGATGACAGAGGTCAGTAATTTGCACCAGAGGTACACTCCAACTGTGAGAGACAGAATGTGAAAAAAAAATCCATGAATTCACATGGTAGGATTTGTAAAGAATTTATTCGTAAATCAGGGTGGAAAATAAGTATTTGGTCACCTCAAACAAGGAAAATCTCTGGCTCTCACAGACCTGTAACGTCTTCTGTAAGAAGCTTTTCTGTCCCCCACTCGTTACCTGTATGAATGGCACCTGTTTGAATCCATCATCTGTATAAAAGACACCTGTCCACAGCCTCAAACAGTCAGTCAGACTCCAAACTCCGCCATGGCCAAGACCAAAGAGCTTTCGAAGGACACCAGGAAAAGTATTGTAGACCTGCACCAGACTGGGAAGAGTGAATCTACAATAGGCAAGCAGCTTGGTGTGAAAAAATCAACTGTGGGAGCAATCATCAGAAAATGGAAGACATACAAGACCACTGATAATCTCCCTCGATCTGGGGCTCCACGCAAGATCTCATCCCGTGGGGTTAAAATGATCATGAGAACGGTGAGCAAAGATCCCAGAACCACACGGGGGGACCTGGTGAATGACCTGCAGAGAGCTGGGACCAAAGTAACAAAGGTCACCATCAGTAACACACTACAACGGCAGGGAATCAAATCCCGCAGTGCCAGACGTGTTCCGCTGCTGAAGCCAGTGCATGTCCAGGCCCGTCTGAAGTTTGCCAGAGAGCACATGGATGATACAGCAGAGGATTGGGAGAATGTCATGTGGTCAGATGAAACCAAAGTAGAACTTTTTGGTATAAACTCAACTCGTCGTGTTTGGAGGAAGAAGAATACTGAGTTGCATCCCAAGAACACCATACCTACTGTGAAGCATGGGGGTGGAAACATCATGCTATGGGGCTGTTTTTCTGCCAAGGGGACAGGACGACTGATCCGTGTTAAGGACAGAATGAATGGGGCCATGTATCGTGAGATTTTGAGCCAAAACCTCCTTCCATCAGTGAGAACTTTGAAGATGAAACGAGGCTGGGTCTTCCAACATGACAATGATCCAAAACACACCGCCCGGGCAACAAAGGAGTGGCTCCGTAAGAAGCATTTGAAAGTCCTGGAGTGGCCTAGCCAGTCTCCAGACCTCAACCCCATAGAAAATCTGTGGCGGGAGTTGAAAGTCCGTGTTGCTCGGCGACAGCCCCAAAACATCACTGCTCTCGAGAAGATCTGCATGGAGGAATGGGCCAAAATACCAGCTACTGTGTGTGCAAACCTGGTAAAGACCTATAGTAAACGTTTGACCTCTGTTATTGCCAACAAAGGTTATGTTACAAAGTATTGAGTTGTATTTTTGTTATTGACTAAATACTCATTTTCCACCCTGATTTACGAATAAATTCTTTACAAATCCTACCATGTGGATTCATGGATTTTTTTTTCACATTCTGTCTCTCACAGTTGAAGTGTACCTCTGGTGCAAATTACTGACCTCTGTCATCATTTTGGGGGGGGGGAACTTGCACAATCGGTGGCTGACTAAATACTTTTTTGCCCCACTGTATATCTGAAGATTAAACCACTACATTCTTGGCTAAAAAAATATATTGATAGTGTATTTGGTGACACACAAACAGGGTATTTCAAAGTACAGTTCAGTTAGTTTCCACATGCCAGTTGTTGGTGTGGAGAAACGCCCAGAAAAAAGAATGGCAACCCGGCCAAAGCAATGGTTTTGACTCGAACAGCGTTTACCCCAAACCTCTATTTATTGACACATTGAATTGAATTATTTAATGGTGTATTTAATCAATTCATTTTTGTCACTTCTATCCCTCCATTCCTCGATATGTACACAGCCATTTTTTAAACAGATATTCTCTAGTGTATTTTTGAGAAATTCTTTTTGCATCAAGACAAAAAGTATCTCAAGCACTGTTCAAAGAGAACCTTTAGCCAAGTCAAAGCCCACAAATAACAAAAAAAGTCAGAAAAAAGTTATTTAGTTTTTTTGTCCACAGGTAAACATAGAAATTGAGCTTCTGAAAACCTTTTGAAAATAAAGTTTTGTCAGACGCCGAGTTTCCAAAGATCCAAACACTTTGTTTTACCATCAACATTTTCTAAAAATTAAACTTGGCACGCAGTATGGTTTCCTATATGCATTTTCAACTGTACTGAAGAACTAAATTTTTTCCCACAGGTGTTACAACAATGTGGTTTCTCACCTGTATGACATTCCATGTGCGTTTTCAAATGGTCCTTCCGATTAAATCTTTTCCCACAGGTGCTACACGAATGCGGCTTCTCACCTGTATGATATTCCATGTGCATTTTCAAATGTTCCTTCCGATTATATCTTTTCCCACAGGTGCTACAAGAATGCGGCTTCTCACCTGTATGAATTTGTATGTGTCTAGTCAGGTGTGACTTCCGACTAAATCTTTTCCCACAGGTGCTACAAGAATGCGGCTTCTCACTTGTGTGAATTTTCATGTGTATTTTCAGATTTGTTACTACATTAAATCTTTCCCCACATATGCTACAAAAATATGGCTTCTCACTTGTGTGAATTCGCATGTGACTATTCAACTGCCCCTTCTGACTAAAGCTTTTCCCACAAGTGGTACAACAATGCGGCTTCTCACCTGTGTGAATTTTCATGTGTTCAGTTAAATATGCCTTTAGAGTAAATCTTTTCCCACAGGTGCTACAACAATGTGGCTTCTCACCTGTGTGAATTTTCATATGTCGATTCAAGTTTTCCATCCTTTTAAATATTTTCCCACAGGTGCCACATAAATGTACTGTCTTGGAATTTTGAACTGGCAGCTCTGATACGATTTCCTCCAACCTATTTCTGTGTAAGTTATCATCCTTGCTTTCATCCTGATCTGTGTCAGGAGAGTTGTGAGAAAGGAGCTGGTCACTACTTAGGTCTGGTTCACCCTGGTCACTTTCTTTACGAGCAGGAAAAGTTTGAGTCTCTTGCTTTCGTACAAACGGTTTTCCCTCTTCAGTGGTACTGAGTTCCTCCTGTTCCCCTTTAATCTGCAAAAGATCCTCCTGTTCTTTACAGTCATGTTGTGGAAAATCTGAAGGGACAAAAAACAAAACATATATTTGAGAAATTACAAGGTAACCTTAGCCATTAGCAGGTCTCCACGTGGTAAGCATGTCGCACAGATATACCAATGAAAGGCATGTTGGGGGAGAAGCTGTTTTGCTGACTCAGTGAGACCATTTTGGCTGCTCATTTACAAACTATGATAAACACTCTTCTTCTGTGATCGATTTAAGTTTGGAATCGTACATTTCAGAAAAAAGAACATAAATATTTAACAATATTTATCCCAAACCGTAATGTCGTAAAGTATTTTTTTTTTCATTCCATGCTGCAAGGGAAACCTGGAATTCTTTAAACTGACTGAAAAAAATAAAATGAAAATCGATGAGGTGGAAACTTTAAACTCAAACACTGCTCAGTTTTTGTATCATTTAATGGAGGAAATCTAATTTATGAAAATAAAAAGATAATCAAACATTAGGGGCAGTTTCAAAACAACACAAAAATTCAGCTATAACAAAAACTGTGAGATTCTCATAAATATTACTCTGACTAATAATTCCAGGGTTTTGTTGTCTTCTAAATGTGATAGTGGCTTTTCCAGCTCTTTTAGTTTAATTATTAGGGGCGATCGTGGCTCAAGAGCTGGGAGTTTGCCTTGCAATCGGAAGGTTGCCGGTTCGAGCCCTGGCTTGGACAGTCTCGGTCGTTGTGTCCTTGGGCAAGACACTTCACCCGTTGCCTACTGGTGGTGGTCAGAGGGCCCGGTGGCGCCAGTGTCCGGCAGCCTCGCCTCTGTCAGTGCGCCCAGGGTGGCTGTGGCTACAATGTAGCTGCCATCACCAGTGTGTGTGAATGGGTGGATGACTGGATATGTAAATGCGGGTCTTAGGACTAATGCTATAAATGCAGGCCAGTTACCATTTATTAAGAGAAACATTAATAAAACTCTTCAATTTAACCAGTTTGCCTCCCCACCTCCTTTTTTCAACCCGGACACTTTTTGTTACTTTCCCTCATCTCCCGGACCTTTTAGGGAAACGTAACACAGGGTGTTGTGCGATTGTTGTGGTTTCTTTCTAATATTGTA